CACTCACTCACTCACTCACTCACTCACTCACTCACTCACTCACTCACCACCACCGCGGATCTCCACCTTCATCACCCACTTCTCTGGACCCCAATGCGTCTAGATCTCTAGACTTTCTGCTGCTACACCTCTAGACCTCACACACACTGTTTCGGGTCTCTTACCGGGATAATTTTGGACATCGTAGGTTGCGCAGGATTTTTTTATGGTGCATGCTCTGTCTTCCATAAGTTTACAATACTTTACATGCATCCGTTGGAGATCCATTGCGACAATCCACAGAAACACCGACTTAGCCCTTTCAGATGGACGAGGCAGTGGGATTCCACGTGCCCACCCTGCATCTCAACACAGACTTCATCGCGACCCTGTTTGTAGGGTTCCTTGATGGACACCCTCACGTCCCACCCAATGTCGCCTATCATGTCACTACGTTGCATGGACCTTCCTCCAGGGTGGATCGTATTAAAAGGATTTATAAAGGCTAAATCACTCCTCACTCGAGCTAAACATGTTGGTCCAAACATATCTAACCATGTTCATCATTGTTCGGTGTATTACCGTATCAATATCCCATTCTCATTCAGTGGAGCCAGACGAACCACTGCGCAGTGGCATAGCATTCCAAGAAACCGAGGCAAAGGCTAACCTTTCGTTTTGGTGTGTTTTCCCACACTTTCCTATACCTGGTACCCCTGAAGAGTGATAATTATCACTCCGTTTTGTAATTATCAATCTTTTGGACAGTGGTGTGACAAAAAGCACTCCGGAGTGAGAATAGTTGTTCCAGAATGGTTTTTGTTGCTCCGCAACGTATCTTGAACGCAAAGCGAACGTTAATTGAACGCAAAGTGAACGCACTGCGAACGCAATCTGAACGCAATTGCGGTTGGACTGATTTTTTCCACTCTGGAGTGCTTTTTGTCACACCACTATCCAAAAGATTGATAACTACAAAATGGAGTGATAATTATCACTCTTCAGGGGTACCAGGTATATGTAATTGCGTTTGTAGACGCTAGACTCAGTAGATACATGGAAAAAGGATATCAACATGTTGTGTCCTTTGATGGTCCGGGAAAACAGCCAGATTCGGATTCAATTTACAAGCACGAACCACCATTCTGTCAGCTCTCCCTGTCAAAGATCGATCGAAGCTGCCAAGGTCTGCATGGGTCCTACAGTGACTGGGCGGCACATGTGTTTTTTTGTTTCGGTCGCCGCAAGATGGCAGGGATGGAAGTATGAAAAGAACCCGGAGCCTCAGTTCGTACTCCCAAAAAGGTTGGCACTATGCTATAAGATACATATATGTTTTTATTGAACATGTGTCATGTCCCATCTTTGAAATTTTGGAAAGTCAGTGTAAAACAAAATCGCCCACCGCCACATGCCCATGAGCCGTGGCGTTGGGAGGATCTTCTGGGCGCGGCGGATTGCGATCAAAATCCTCCTCGCGGCGCGGGGGACCTTGTCGCCCGAGACCAGCTGCTCGGAGAAAGATGCCTCGTCCGGTCGGAGGCCTTCGGAAGAAGAATGGCTGGGAGGATGGCCGTGTTTCGATCGTCCTGTTGGCCGTTTAGCTGGGGTTAGAGGGCCTAAGAGTGGCCAGAGGCCACCATGTGTGTTTGTTTCCGCCGCTCGTGTCATGAAGTTGTCCCAATTCCACGACGTGTGAAGCAAGAACATCGCTGTTTTTGAACAAGGCCTGCAGAACCATCATCATCCACTGTTATGGGCAATAGGATAGATCTAATGTATCTTAGTTTAATAAATGTGTTTGTAACATTTATAGGGAAGAAGTTGTTTTTTTTGAGGTGTTTGATGAGACGAGTTGAATAGAAGAAAGGTTGTCCCGGGCGACCTTTTTTCATTGAAACTATTCCCAGGTTCTTCTTTGGGGTCACCCTATCAACACAACTCGTTGGGAGTGCTTGATTGCGGGACAATGTGTTTTCTTACAGGTGGAGCGGAACAAAACCGTCCATCATAGTATTACACGACTATGCCATCACGTGCTATCTTTGAAACCATTCGTACCACCATTCCATCAGTGCTATGTCTTTTACATGCACGTTTGGGCGTGGGTCAAGAGTCAAAACCCCAAACCCAAAACCTTCATTCGACATCCACAGCAGTCCATACTTGCTTTCAAGCAGGCAGACAACTTAGATTAGCATTCATTCTAGAATCGTGATGCTGCACTTTATAGTCATTCCTCGTCAACTTTGGTGGCGTTCTTGCTTTAAGTTGATGTGTGTTCAAACACCCCAACACGCGCTTTGATTCCGATATTGAAGGCTTGTGTATAAACGACATGCGCATAGACCGACCGGTGTGTAATTAGTGATTAATGGGGGGTCGACCAGGGTGTTTCCGGTTTTGACCCATGTCCCATCCAGGATCATTTGAAACACGATGTGCCCAGAGTTGGGGATATCAATGAAACAGGGTTCCAGAATGGGGTACCTTCCCACTCACGACACATGGAAGTGGACATCCACCCTGTTTGTTAAAGGGACATGCTCTTGCAATGCTGCAAGGGCCCATGCTCGGCTTCACGTTGGTGAGTCAGAGTGTATGTAAATGAGCAGAGGATGTGAGCTGAAGGCCTCCAATCATTAAGAATTGGCCGCCTCCAATTAAAATCTAGCCCAGCCTCGTAAGGGCATAGCCTGGCTGATCAGGCCTTTATGATGATGAGGATGATCAAGGTGATGGAGCAGCAGCAGCAGCAGCAGCCGGTTGAGGCCTTCAGCGCATGCTGGTAGGCTCTTGCACTGTAGGGATCAGACAGATATCATTCCGAAACACTCCATGGGACTGGCATATGTACCTACATTGGGGTGGTTGAAACGAGGTCAATGTAGGCCCTATATTTCATTGGGGATTGTTTTATTTTCTTTCTGCAGTGCTTGATAATGTTTGATCCTTATTGTTTGATTTTTTTAAGTTATGGTGTCATTTTTTCATTGTTTCCTCTAATATGTGTCAAGAGAGAAAGCCCCAGGCCGCACCTCAAGCTTTAACGTCGGTCTCTAGCTCCACCGATGACAGTATCAGAAAAAGTAACATTGTCCCGTCCCTTGGGTTTGTCCTATTGCATGTAACAGTCAGTATAGACAAGAACATCACTATTTTTAAAGGAGGCATGCAACTGAGCCATCATCATCCACTGTTATGGGCAATTTGATAGACCCAACCCATCCCTTTGCTGCCTTTGCTTTGTGCGGGCATGGGTTTTCCTGCTAAAATTCCCGGACGCTCCTTTTGTTTGTATTTACCTACATTGGAGTGGTTGAATTGCAGGTTTTTCTGAAACTTTCCCATTGGTCTGCATCGGTGGAGGTGTTCCACTGAACCAATCAGTGATGCACCCCTGCCCCGATTTGCCCTATTCAAGCGGTCTCAACTTCCTCCATCAGCCCTAGGGATCCAAGTAGCTTCTCAGAAGCTGATCGGAGACACTGTTAAGTTGTGTAGGTTTGGAGGGTCGAAGTACCTTCTCAGAAGGTACGACTGGATCCCTAAAAAACTCAGCGCAAGGTCTCAGGGTTGGGCCAGCCGGGACGGAGCACCCCATCGACGGGTTCCCGGACTATGCAGATGGATTGATGTCCTCTCCTTGACCTTGCAAGATTTGGCTTCTACTAGACGCTCAACAGGGACATCATCCGCTGGAATCCAGCAAAAACGGGGGAGACCCTTCCCACTGCACCCTTGCCAAACACTCCATGAGGCTGCCATATTTGCCGATCAGTTGGGGTGTGAGGGGGGTCAATTGATCGGCAGTCCTATGGCAGTCCCATGAGTCGTCTCTGGGCTTTGAAGCCTTGGCCAGGTGACTCGGAGCTGAGGCACTCCGAGTGGTGGCGGAGCTCTTCGAATGGAAGAGGTCTCACCGAAAGCGTACGGCGTCAGAGATAGAAATCAATATTCAGCACTCGACTCTACATGCGGCGACATGCGGTCTTTCCTTTGGATTGGAGTCATGGTGACCCTTTAAAGGAAGGCCCATGTTGGGCGCCCGCGGATGCCCGAGAAAGAGCGCCATGCTGGCTGTGCGTGTCCGGAGAGGGGGACAGAGCGCTGTTTGGCTGCAGGGACCGTTGGACAGTGTGGTTTTCGTTACGGAGATAATATCAATGGACGATATATCCTTAAGGATATGATTATTGGTTTGTTGCTTACAATCTGTCCAAACCGACGTTTGTCCCTTGTACCCAACTGGACCGACGTACCCACTCGAACGGGGTCGGCATCCAGGAGTGGTCGGTGGGTTTGGATCGAAACCCAAAAATAGATTGTCACAAAGGGTCTTTGGCCATGCTCTTCCCCATTCAGTGAGTCAAATCATTCACAATATTTTATAGGTCAAATCAAATCAGTCAGTTCACCACTCTTCCCCTAAACCATGCCCTTCAAGACCCAACTCCCCTGAACTCAGGGGGACCGCACCTACCGTCTACCCACCCCACCCACTCCACCCACTCCACCCACTCCTCCCATCCCTTGGCAGCAAACGCACCGAACTCGAGGCTCCGTGGTATGTATCGCGGGGGACTCTTCGGCACGTTGGCGCTCCTGCTGGGGGCTCCCGAGTTGGGGAGACCGACGAGCCGGACGGAGAAGTAGGACTGGGGAGATGGAGGGGTTTGATGCCCGGGGACGTGTGATCACTTGGACCTGGGGACTGGTGGCTTTGGACTGTTTGAGATGCGAAGAGACGAAACCTAAGCTTCTTAGATAGTTGAGAGACAGATGCGAAAGCTGCCCTCAGGTGGAGATGGCGAACAGTGTACAGATGCACTTTGATTAGTCTAAGTAAGGGATTCTGACAAGCTACATACTGGTGATTCATACGTGGTGGTGGGGAGAAGAGACGTCAGATATGGGGAGAACTGGCCTGCTGCATGGCATATTCTGCTCAATGGTTACTTTTTTCCGGTTGCCTGGGGTCTGGAAGAGTGTTGGCGCCAGCAGGTGTTCATCCTCTGGAAAAGGTTCATGAACATGTTTTCGTCACGACCTCTTGGGATAAACCCTCATCCTAAAATGGATCATCTCGGCAGACAGCCCGTGTGAATTGGGAGTGGATATGTTTGTCGTCTCTGATAGGTGCTGGTAGTATGTACAGTATATGTCTTGAATTTTTATATACTGAATTTATTGCTTATGTTTTTAAACCAAGGCCTTCTTCTCCCCATGTATTGGTCGTGCTTGGTGCTCGGTTTGCGCAAATAGAAACAGACTCATCCTGGCCTGCCGATGGTCAGGCCCGGACATTGCTTGTGGTACATGGCCTATGAAGGGTCTCTCAGATAGAATTGGGCGATTTCAGGGATGGGGCGATTTTCCTCGGTGCTACCCATGCTGTTTGACTATAAGTTGACAATGTCGATGGCCAAGGGATTTTTCTGAAAAACGAATGGAGGAAACGGTGAATACATTCTGAGCGCGTCAGTGGTGTGTATTTTAAGTTGGAGCCACTGTCCCGAAGGAACGAACCTGAAACGAGTTAAGCTGAGGGTCGACGCCCTTGAGGGGGGGTTGTGGGAACGACTTGTCTCGTTGGTTCTGGCCATCAGACGGTTGGGGCGTTGCTGGTTGGTCTCGATTTGTCTCATTTTTGTGTGGGTGGTGGATGGTAACATGAACCCTGCAGGTCCAAGCAGTTTGTAGATGTTGGGCAAGCCATAGGGATTATCCGTATAGGTCTTTCAGGGTGGTTCGTTTGAGTGGTCGCCTAGTAGCGTTTTTGTATGTTTCAGGGGACACACCTGGAACTTACTTTTCTCAGAAATTGCTTTGGGTCTGCCTTTTCACATGGCATGCTCAGTCCCCAGTCTGTCCCCAGTGACCGATCGATTAGTGGAGGTCCAAGTGGCACTTGACGCCGCGCCTGCCCGCGCGCATGGCGCCGGCCGCCGCCGCTGCGCTGGCGGAATGTGCGCACGGGCCGAAGGGAACGGGACGTGCGCCCTGCGGAGTGTTCCTTGAATTCCTCAAATGGATTCCTGCCGTCTTCCTCTCATCCATCTCATCCTGATCCGGTCAGGAACTGACCGAAATGCTGGAGTTCCAATTCCCAAGCACGACCTGGCCCTGAACGTTTTCCCACCCCTGTCCCGAGAAGGGGCCTTTTTGGGTGGTGTTGAGCTACAAAACCAATCACTGAAACGGACAGTGATCGTATTGGATCAGCTTTACCACACATGCCACCAGGGCAGTCACCTGCCAGAAACCCTCTTCCCACCTAGCCTATGGGGGGGGTCAATGTAGGCATATACATGGAGTGTCTGGGTTATGGGCATCCTAGAATCAGCATTGAGAAGAATATATTCATTGTCGTACCAAATCTAGAGCAACTTATACACACCTTGGAGCACTTTGTCCGACTAGTGACTAGTACCAAACACAAATTGAGGAAATCTGTGGATTCCCGCTCCAAAAATAGCGTGAACAAAGCGACAAGCACCCAAATATCTGGCGCCTCTTTTGTGGAGGTCTCCCTCCCTTCCATGCAGGCTCTCTGACAAAGATCCACCCCTTCCCACCGCTTCGCCGACGTCACGTGCTTCGCGACGATTCGTCGGTCGGCAGGCTGTTGGGTCGTCTCTTCGATGCCGGTGGAGAATGCGCCTGGCCCAGCGGCCAAAAGAGGTCTTTTGGGCTCACTGAGAGGTCAATCATGGAGGGGCGGAGACGGTTCTCTGGTCCCTGGCGTGGTCAGAAGTGTTCGAAAAAATGAGCTTCTCGATACCTTGAAATCACTGGCATGATTGATCCTGGTTGATTCATCTTCTCACCCGATTCAGAACTTGTGGCTCCAGTCAACCAAGCCGGGTCGACTGCTGCTGCCTTGCCCGCCCCAAACGTGTCGAGGGGCTTACGATTGGGGAAGAGGGCGGCAAGCCATGCGACCATCCGTCGAGCCCTGGAGAGGTCAATCTTTGTCTGTCCATGAAGAAGTCCGAAAAGGCATACTTTCAAACCCTTAGTCCTTTGGTTTAGAGGGTTTCTTACTATAAACCATGAACGTTTAACACATGTTAAAACCTTAGCAAAGTACCGAGTGGGTTTCGCTTCAATCACGCGGCTGCAGGTGGTGGTCCGGCTCCAGTGCCGTCCTGCAAGGGTTCCGGGGCCTTGAGTGGAACGGGTGGAACGCCGCTGCGTCCCTACCGGTGGGTTGGGTGCCGCTCCCAGGTCCGGGACCCGGATTCCCAGGTCTGGACGTCCAGGAGTCGGGAGAGGAGTCTTCAGCGACCAAGGTCGCCTGGCGCCAGGTGTGCAGACCGGAGGCAGCAGGGCCAGCAAGGTGCATGCAGCGCGGAGTGCCTGAACTCAAGCCCTTCAGCGACATCGGAGTGATTTACACCTGCTACACCATGGGGTTTGGATGTGGGAGTGGCTTTATTGAGAAGCTGGCCAACGGCCAAATGTCGTTGATCACCAGCAGCCACGCTGTGGCTACCTCCTACTCCTCATGTGCAATCTATGTCGGGAAGACTATAAGGTTGTATTCACTGGCCGAGTCACAGTGGGGGTGCATCCTTCTTCGGCACCAGCCACACCGGCGACTTGGTCGCTTGGACCCGGTGTGGCTGCCTGTCAAACGAACGGGAGAAGACAGGCTGGAGTTTCATGAATACCAAGTTGTTGGAGGCATTGTTCAGACAGGACATGATCAGCAAGGTCACCTTCAGGCTGTGTGTAGGAGCCAAGCTATCTATCTATCTATCTATC